AAAAAATGTACAGACAAATCCTTGTACATAAAAACGACCAAGATTTTCAGCGCATTATATTTCGCAATTCACCTAGTAGCCAAGCCAAGCCCTCAACTGCGGAGGGTTCCCCTTGAAAAAGATTTCGGCCAACCAACCCCGAAATATTAAAGAATATAAATAAAAACCACATATTAGACACAAACTTCCTCATCTTTGAAAAAGAAAGTACCACCAAAACTCTGGGAATACGATGGAATGCGATATCAGATCAATTCTCATACCAGACCGGGAAATAGCACTTTTTATGGTATCAAAGGCAATAGATAAAAAAGTCCACTCTTAGTTCTTAATCCCTTTCTAGACCCGAAGGGACTGCTATGCGCCAATGGATGTCTGGTAAACTCTAGTTTGAGTTATAACGAGCGGTACCCAATAATAATACCCGAAAAATCCCCATTTGCCACACTGTACATAAATTATGTGCACTTATTGATGCTACACGCCGAACATCGGCTTATGCAGCAAATGATCCGACAAGAGCTTTATATCCCACGACTAAAGCCTCGGATAAAGAAATGTATTTTCCTGTGTAAAGTCTGCACTATACATAAGCAGAAAATGCGCACGCAGATCATGGCAGCTCTACCACCTGAGCGCTGCAATTTCTCTTTGCCCTTTACCATCACGGGCGTTGACTTTGCGGGGCCTTTCCAGATAAAGGCCTCTATGTTAAGGTCTTCCACCTTTACGAAGGGCTATGTGGCCGTTTTTGTACGTTTTTCGACAAAAGCGGTACACCTTGAGTCAGGGGCGCACCCAGGAATATATTTTAGGGGGGGTTTATATTTCTGAAGATATATCACTGGAAAATACTGAACATTTTCTTGATAATACGCTCTTTAAAATACATTTATGCAAGTTTTATGTACAATATGTAATAAATAAATTAACGTTTTAAAATTCATAAACTGCACTTTATTTACATAAGATTAACAGAACTCAAACACTTTTAACCGACTTCAAAAAAGGGGAGGTTATCAATTCGCTGGAATACATAACTTTTTTACCACGTGAACCGATTTCAATAATCCTTTTTTTATTGGAAAGATGGTACCTCAAGGGTCGTCCCGTAATTTGGTTTAGAGATCCGATGATTGGATCATGAAGAAATTAACGGTACCCCTAAATTTGTATATAAGAATTGAAGTCGGTTGTGTTTTTTCCTTAAAAACTACTTGTTTAATAAAAAGTTCTATAAACTCAAGATGCGCTCAACTTTCAAAAGTACCTAATAAAAAATTTTAAAAAAGAGTCAGTAAAAATAAATGTATTGATTCCATGAATTTTTGCACTTTTATATTCATTTTTTCGATTTCCGGTTTCTGGTTTTCGATAGATGGTGATTTTTCACGATTGCTAAATTTTTTTAAAATTTCGAGTTCCGAAAAAATTAACTGAACTCTCAAGAAAAACGAAAAATTCATATAAAACGACGGACGAGAAATGGAAAAGAAATTTTCTTCTACCAAATTTTCATAAATCAGTTTGCAGCTCTCAAGAAAAAAATGCTCGTATATTTATTTCCTCATGAAAATTTACAGCAAAAGCAAAGCGCTTTTTCAAGAAACAGAAATTATAATAAATATTTCTTATAATTTCCTTGAGAGCTGGATTCTTAGCTTTAAGATACAGTTTTGAACCCCAAAACCCACCCCTTGTGTGCGCTAATGCCTTGAGTTATGTTCAGATCTGACAACTGCAGCTTTTCTCGCGGCATTTGCCCGTTTTGTCGGAAGGCATGGATTTCCCTCAAAAATAATGAGCGACAATGGCAAAACATTCGTCGGAGCCCAAAGGGCCCCTGAAAAGCAATTTATCCAATTTATTAAGGAAGTCTCGCCTGAAATCATTAAGATTATGGACCCCAAGGAATTAATTGGCAATTTATTCCCCCTAGCGCTCCACACATGGGGGGACTCTGGGAATCCGCCGTAAAAAGCTTTAAAGCGCATTTCAAGAAAATCGCTGGTAATTACAAATTTACTTATGAAGAGTTCACCACACTATTAGCTCGAGTTGAAGCCGTTCTCAATTCACGGCCTCTCAATACCCTCTCGCAAGATCCCTCCGATTTCACAGCCCTCACCCCTGGGCATTTTCACAGAGGAGCTCCACTTCTGGCCATAACCGAGCCAGACACGCAATCCCTATCCCTCACAAATCGATGGGAAAGAATTAAAGTTCTCCATCCCGAATTTAGCCTTCGATGGAAGGAGGAATATCTAAAAGACCACCAAAAAAGATACCGATGGAAAAACACTCAAGAAGAGCCAAAGATTGGGGACTGTGTCACGACGAATGTCTTCCCCCTACGGAATGGCGGCTCGGCCGCATAGAGAAAATATATCATGGATCAGACGGTCATGTCCGCGTAGTTGGTCTCCGTACACAAAGCGGCACACTAACTCGACCGCTCCTCGAGCCATGTTTCCTTCCAACCACCTCTCCTACCGATTGCGCGAATACTAGTACCTAAAATCATCAAACCGCAATAAACGTAACAAAAACCGAGAATATCAAAAGTGCCTAAATCCGGACCCTCGAACTCACGCCAAGTGGCTTACGCCTATCAATCATGTTCATAACTGCTTACACCTATGCTATACTAAAGTCCGTTCTCCCCTAATGTAAGTAAACATGGACGTGAAAATGCATGAAGCCGCACCAACTCCAACTCTCCGTTCGGCAATCACCGTGCCCCGCTCGGCAGCACCGCCAGGAGCAGCTCCGCGTTCTGCTGCGCCACGCAACGTCACGCCTCGTCCCGCCGCCGCTCCAACGGCACCACCCTGTGCTGAGCTTCCACAAAGGAGCCCAGCAGAAATGCATGGCGTACGATGCCCGCTATGTAGGCGCCCACACAAGCTGCGCCTATGCTGCATATTTAGGAGTATGCAGCCGCCGCAGCGCCAGCAAGGCGCGCAAGCGCATGGGTACTGCCTCAATTGCTTGGCGCTATCCCACGCAATGAGGGAATGCGACTCCCCCATCAGGTGTCAACTATGCGACAGACCGCATCACACGCTGTTGCACCGCATGTTCTGACGTCCGATGATCGAGACGCCTGTGCCACGCAACCATGGGCGGCGAAGGCCGCACGACAGCAGTACAGCACGATGGCGGCGACCACCAGTACAGTAGGGCCACCGCACTTGGAACCATCCTGGGGCTCGATATAGCGCTCCAGCGGTCACACATCGCAACGTCCCCGTCGTGCAACCGGACTCAGCAACGTAGTGGAGACCCTGCAGCAACTCCAGCAACTACTAGGCTGAAGACTCGCCTAGGGGAGCGGGGATGGCTAAATGAGCTCGGCCGTTCCCCCTTTTTCGACCGTGAATGGCTCCGTGGAACAGCAGCAACCCTGCCTAATTGCCTACTCCCCACGGCCCCACCCACGTACACATAATACACCTTACATACACACACACACATCAATTACAACATAACAAGAGAAAAAACACAATTCTGCGATCATCGAGCCGAGTAGACGTCTTCTCCTAGCCAATTTTACCTTTAATAAAAATCCGTTTCTAATTTAGCAAAAGGTGGTTCAATATTTTTTTGGTTCAATATATTTTATTTCTTGTGGAAAAGTGGTGAGTGTGCCCCCCTAGAAGTGTTGCCCTGGTGTAAGAGTAACGAGTTGCAAATATGTTTGCGCAATTTCAAGAGCTACATTACCTTAAAATGGATCGGATGCGGTGGACACAAAAATAGATGTTATGAATCGGAAAAAGCGTGGTTAGAAAAAACTTGTCAATTTGTGGGGTATCAGATACCTAAAGGAGGAAGGTCCACTAAAGACTTTGGGGAATTTAGTGACCAGTCAAAACGTAGGAAAACGTCCTAGCACAAATGAGCCTGCGAGATAGTGGAAAGCGCAGTGAAGCCAAACAAGTTCTCGACACATTAACCCCCATCTGAAGAAACTTCTCTGAACTGCCGCATGTTTTTTTCGAATCACGAAATAAAGATTTCAAAGCGTATCGTGAACGTTTTAGCCCAAAAACTTCAAGGAAAGCTAACCTTGAAGATGTATTTCATCGTCTACTTTACTTTATTCTTCTGATCCTCATATTACGAGTTTAAGACCTTTACAAACAGTAAAAAGAAAATCATTTGATTCAGAAGTAAGACATGCTTTTAGAAAAGAATTATGAATATACACAACCCGAATCTTATGATTATATAGACGAATAAATTTTTATCGTGCCTTGTACCGTTTTGTTATTGTTTCTATTTTAAGTAATCTTTATGGCCCGTTACCATAATTACAGTTATCAATGTACAATGAATTAGTTTTTCAGTGTTTAGAACACGAAGTGACTTATTGGAAATAGTGGATGATCTGGGTTTATTATTTTTCTCTACATATTTTTCAATTTAACAAGAAAATAAAAATTTTTGAACAGTGTTAGTACACAAAATAATGAAATAATATTATAAAAGTAATATTATATTTCGGTTTTGGATGTGTCTTCGTAGTTTTCAGGGGAAAAATCGGGTTGCAGACTTTGAGCGCCAACTTGTATGAAGCGGCCCCATTGTGCGATGGCATCATACCTGCGCAGCTGCAAAGGGCTATGAAGGTGTCGTGCAATTGGTTGGATCCTATTTATGCGAACTGCCTGAGGACCGGGTTCATCCCCATGGCTTGAAAGGTAGTCAGTATTACGTTCA